ACAATGGGAAAAATTTACTCATACATGTGTAATGATTGTTTAAAGAAGTACTCTGCAATATGATTTCAAAATAGCCAGAAGTATGACACTGACACCATTGATGAAATTGGACAAATTTTGGAAGACATGTAACAAATAAAAGTAATGCTGACCAGCCATTTTGCAGGTAATTCTTGACCTAGTTCTGTCTAAAATGTCAGTCCTTCATGGTCTTCTCAATATAATCTATTTCTGGTTGTTGCTATAGCTTATCATTAACATTCACATTGCATGCTGAATTTTACCAGGTTTCCAACAACCATAGTGACTTATTAGCTTCCTTGAGTCATACAGCCATACAGCACAGAAACAGCCCTTTTGGTCCAACCGGTCCATGCCGACCATAATCCTGAACTAAATTAATCCCACCTCCTGTGCTTGGCCCATATCCCTCCAAACATTTCTTATTTGTGTATTTATCTAAATGTCTTTTAAACATTGTGACTGCACCCACATCCACTATTTCCTCTGAAAGTTCATTCCACACACGAAGCACCCTGTGTATAAAAAAATTGCCCCCATGTCTTTTTTAAATCTTTCTACTCTCACCTTAAAAATATGCCTCCTAGTGTTGAAATCCCCCACCCTAGTGAAAAGGCACTCGCATATACCTCATCTATACCCCTCTTTCAGGTCACCTCTGAACCTTCTGTGTTCCAGTGAAAAAAATAGTCCCAGCTTATCCAACCTCTCCTTATAACTTAAACCCTCCATTCCCGGCAACATACTGGTAAATCCCTTCTGAACCCTCTCCAGCTTAATAATATTCTTCCTATAACAGGGACACCAGAACTGGACACAGTACTCCAGAAGAGGCCTCACCAACATCCTGTACAACCTCAACATAATATCCTAACTCCCGTACTAAAAGGGCTGAGCAATGAAGGCAAGCATGCTAAAAGCCTTCTTAACCACCCTATCTATACGTGATGCAAACTTCAAAGAATTATGTGCCTGAACCCCGAGGTCTATCTCTTCTACAATACTGCCCAAGGCCCTACTTTTAATTGTATAAGTCTTGGTCATTGTTTGTTTTACTAAACTGCAATACCTCACAATTATCCAAATTAAACTCCATTCTCTACTCTTAAACCCATTGACCCAATTGATCAATATCTTTTGTAATCTCAGATAATCATCTTCACTATCCACTATAACACCAATGTCGGTGTCATCCACAAACTTACTAACCATGCTTTCTATAATCTCATCGAAATATTTGTATAAATGACAAACTAAAGTGGACCCAGCAGGTCAAAGGCCTCCAGTCTGAAAAACAACCCTCTACCATCACTCTCTTTCTCCTGACGTTAAGTCAATTTTGCGTCCAATTGGCAAGCTTACTCTGAATCCCATGTGATCTGACTTTACTAATTAGTCTACCATGTGCAACTTTATCACAGGCTTTAGTAAACAATGTCTACCACTCTGTCCTCATCAATCTTCGTGGTTACTTCCACAAAAAAGTTCAATCAAGTTTGTGAGACATGATTTCCCTCATACAAAACCATACAGACTATCCCTTATCATTCCTTGCCTCTCCAAGTGCATGCAAATCCTATCTTTCAGAATCACTTCCAACAACTTACCCACCACTGAAGTCAGACTCACAGGTCCATAGTTCCTTACATCCTTTCTTAAACAAGGGCACAACATTAACCACTCTTCAGTCATCGACACCTCACCCATATTTATAGATGATACAAATTTTTCTGCAAGGGTCCATGCAATTTCCTCCCTAACTTCCCATAAAGTCCTTGGATACACTAGATCAGGTCCTGAAGATTTATTCACCTTTATATTTTCTAAGACGGCCAGCACATTCTCTACTGTAATGTGAACTGTTTTCAAAACATCAATATTTATTTCCCTGAGTTCTCTAGCCTCCAATTCTTTCTCCATAGCAAAAACTGATGCAAAATATTCAGTTAATATCTCTCCCATCTCCTGAGGTTCAACACAAAGGTGACTTCTTTGATTTTTTTCTCACTCTAGTTGCCCTCTTGCTCTTAATGTACTTGTAGAATCTCTTTGAATTATCCTTAACCTTATTTGCCAAGGCTATCTCATGTCCTCTTTTTGCTTTCCTGATCTTTCTCTTAGGAATGTCCCAATACTTTTTATACAGTTTAAAAGATTCATTTGAACCCAGTTGTTTATATGATTCTTTTTGTATTCTTGACCAGAACCTCAATATCTTTAGTCATCCATTGTTCTTTAATCCTACCAGCGTTACCTTTCACTCTAAGAGGGACATAGTGATCTGAACTCTCGTTATCACATTTTGAAAGCCTCCCACTTATCGGACATCCCTTTATTTGCAAAGAGTCCACTCCAATCAATTTTTGAAAGTTCTTGTCTCCTGCCATTAAAATTTGCCTTAAAAACAATTATTTTTGCGGAAGGCTTATCCTTTCCCATAACTATTTTAAAACAAGCAGAATTATGATCTCTAGAACCAAAGTGTTTCCCTATTTTCACTTCAGTAACTTGCCCTGTTTTATTATCCAAGGGAAGGTCAAGTTTTGCTCCTCTAGTAGGAACATTTACATATTGAGAGAGAATTTTTTCTTGAACACATTTAACAAATTCCTCACCATTCAAACCTTTAACACTACGGTAGTCCCAGTCAATGTTTGGAAAATTAAAATCACCTACAGTTAGCATCTGAAGCTGAGAACATTGAGCTATCAGTCCTGGCCATCCCTCAGCCAAGTTGCTGTAATAGCTACAATGCTCCAATCCTATTTTCCTAAATATGCCCTGAGTTCATCAGCTTTATCTTGCATTGAAATAAATGCAGTTTCATTCTTCAGAGTTACTTCATTCTCTGACTTGTTCATGTCTGTCTTTTCCAATTGTCCTTTTCAAATTCAAAACCATTCTCATCTATCTTTCTATTTACTCAGCTACTTAGGATCCCTAAATACCTTCTCTCTAATAGTTTACAGTCTTGTTAATAGAGTTAGCAAATTTTCCCACAAGGATATTGATCCCTTTCCAGTACAGGTGAAACCCATCCTTTTTGAACAGGTCTTTTCTGATCCTGAATAAATCACAATGATCCAAGAACCTGAATTCCTGAACATTACACCACCTTTTCAGCCATTGATTTGTCTCATTTACCCTTCCATTTTTTCTTTCATTTGCGCTTGGCACTGGGAGTAAACCAGAGGTTACTACTTCTGAGGAGAGAGATAGTAGGAACTGCAGATGCTGGAGAATCTGAGATAACAAGGTGTAGAGCTGGATGAACACAGCAGGCCAAGCAGCACCAGAGGAGCAGGAAAGCTGACGTTTCGGGCCTAAACCCTTCTTCAGAAATGGGGGAGGGGAAGGGGTTTCTGAAATAAATAGGGAAAGTGGGGGAGGCGGATAGAAGATGGATAAAGGAAAGAAGTAAGCGCGGAGGCGGAGGCGGCAGGAAAACTGTTCAACATCCAAGTTTGAGCGGTAATATGGCTGTAGTACCTGGTTTGCTTCAGGACGTGGTCTTCTTTGAGGTTCTGTTTTTTAATTTTCTAGCTAACCTCTTATTCACTCTGTAAAGCCTTAATTTTTTTCTCTATGTCATTCCTAGCAATGTATAAAATAACTTCCAGTTTCTCACTCTTCCCTTTAACAATATGCTTTAAACGTTTTGAGACATTCTTAATCCTGGCACCAGGAAAGCTACCTATTATTCTAGATTCACGCACACTGCTGCAGAATCTCCTGTCTGTGCCTTTGACAGGAGGGTCCCCTATAACAATTATTGTTTTAAATTTTGTCAAACGCCACCTAATATAAGATTCATTCTTCGTGCCCAAGATCTGACTGTCTCTTCTATTCTCTTCTAAGACACTATCCTTTTCAACAGTACCCAAAACTGAGTATCTGTTTGAGAAAGGAAAAGCCACTGGAGACTTCTGAACATCCTTCTTACCTTACCTAACAGTCATCCATCTATTTGACTGATCCTGCTGTGTAAACACTTTTCTAAATCTACTAGCCAGCTAACTGAATGTCTCTTGTATATCCTCAATGTCATTTACCCTAAAAAGGAAGCAGCATACAACAGCACCTTATATATAAAATAAACTATCTTCCTTTACCCAAGGAGTTAATATTAAGCATGCAAAAAATGAGAATTTTTTTAAAAAATCAAATGTAAAAATCTTAAATAAAATCAACCACTTAGCTGGACAATTGAATTAAAACAAAAAGTCTCTTGCTCAAGTGGTCCAGCAGACAGCTTTCAATCTTCTGATCAAAAAAATCTCACACCAGAGCCATTCAAGTGTAGGCCTCTTCAAAACCTCCGTAAACACAACTTCATTTAAAAAAAACTCTCCTCCGTGATTTTAAAATAATCTCTTTAGCGATGTTAAGGAAACTCTCTTCCATGCGTATAATTTTATAGAAAAAACACCCGAGCCATCCACTGGTAGGTATCTCCAAAAGGTCCATTAACTGAACTCAGTTTGAAAAAAAAAGCGTACATTTTTAAAAAAAATTTTTGGGGTTTTTTTTGTGATTTTGCTTGTTAACGAACCAAAAATGAATCAAAATAAAAATCTTGTACTACTGAAATGTAATAACTGTAAGAAATCAAAAAGTAAATCTAGAAATAAACCTTCAATCTCAGGAGCAGCTGCAAGATCCATGCTGCTCTCAGTCCACGATTTTAGGATGACTCCCAATGACTTTCCATTTTTCTAATCTTTAGTTTCATACTTTAGCCCTTTGAACTAAAGATTAAAATATAAGATACATGAAAAAGTTAAATTTGAAGCCTCTCTAACACTACAAAATTCTTTTCCTTCTGCATCTGTCATGCTCAACACTACTATAAATGAGCACACTGATGAGAATGAGCAAAATGTTAAACTACTTTATTGTCAATGCATTCAATTTGTAATAAGCTTATATTTAGCATTTTTAAAATGAACATTCAAACTGTTAATCCACATCAGCCTTACCTTAAGTCGTTTAGACCATTGATCTTTCCATTTTTCAGCTAAACACCCATTAAAGAGCATCAATCTGTGAAAATCAGAAAGGAAAGCATCAGAATGAAATTTACAAAACAGATGGTCCAAATAAATAATCTTCCATCTTACAAGACTAAAACCTACTTCTTAATCAATTCACAACTGTAATGGATACTTTTTAGGCAACGTTGACTTTTATGTGACAAAATATTTCAATGGTGTACAGTATTGACGTTTTATGTACAGAGTTTGGCATTTTCCAGTGATTCAGGAAAGGATCTGAGAAATTTAGCAAAAAAGACTTCTAGAAATGAAGGACACAGTGCCTCAAATATCTTCATGATGGCAATAAAAGAAATCTTTTTGACTTTCTGAATTTTTGCTTTCTATTTTTTATGGTTTCATCAGCAAATTTCAGTATGCTTCCTCTGCTCCTACATAAAAATGATTAATGTGACAGTAAACAGAAATGACCTTAGAACAGAAACCTTGCGGAACTCCATGACCCACTTGCTTCACATAATTTTTTTTAGCTCCTAATTTCATTTTCCTCTACTCTAACCAATTTGGTCAGTTTTAGACCCCTTCAACCATTAGTGTCAAGTGGATGTTTCATCTCAGCATCCATTTGATTAATCAGTTATATTGTAACAAAATAACTTGGGTTTTGAAGACAAGCAGTTTTCTTTTCTCCTCTACAATAACTGTTGGCTCATTATGTTTCTACCCAAGGATAGCCATTCTCCCGCACCACAAGCAACTTCGCTCCCACTTTGACCAATGGTTCTATTCATCAAGTTCTGGTGATCTTTTCAGATGTGGGCTTTTATTAAAAACAATTTTTCTTACACAAATAGTCATTCATAGAATTTCTGGGGAAATTTCAAGAAAGGTGGTACGGAAAAACCAGGGAACTATAGACTGGTGAGTCTGACATCGGTGGTGGCCAAGTTGTTGGAGGGAATCCTGAGGATATGCACGTATTTGGAAAGGCAAGGACTGATTAGGGATAGTCAACATGGCTTTGTGCATGGGAAATCGTGTCTCACGAACTTGATTGAGTTTTTTAAAGTAACAAAGAGGATTGATGAGGGCAGAGCGGTGGACATGATCTACATGGACTTCAGTAAGGAGTTCAGTAAGCGCTCCTCATGGTAGACTCGTTAGCCAGGTTAGATCACATGGAATATGGGGAGAACTAGCTACGTGGATACAGAACTGGCTCGAAAGTAGAAGACAGAGAGTTGTGGTGGAGGGTTGCTTTTCAGACTGGAGGCCTGTGACCAGCAGTGTGCTGCAAGGATTGGTGCTGGGTCCACTGACTTTCATCATTTATATAAAACATTTGGATATAAACATAGGAGATATGGTTAGTAAGTTTGCAGATGACACCAAAATTAGAGGTGTAGTGGACAGCTAAGAAGATTACCTCAAAATACAATAGAATCTTGATCAGATGGGCCAGTGGGCCGAGGAGTGGCAGATGGAGTTTAATTCAGATCAATGTGAGGTGCTGCATTTTGGAAAGGCAAATCAGGGCAGGACTTGTACACTTAAAGGTAATGTCCTGGAGAGTGTTGCTGAACAAAGAGACCTTGGAGTGCAGGTTCATAGTTCCTTGAAAATGGAGTCTCAGGTAGATAGGATAGTGAAGAAGGCATTTGGTATGCTTGCCTTTACTGGTCAGTGCATTGAGTACAGGAGTTGAGAGATCATGTTGCGGCTGTACAGGACATTGACTAGGCCACATTTGGAATACTGTGTGCAATTCTGGTCTCCTTGCTATTTGAAGGACGTTGTGAATCTTGAAAGGGTTCAGAAAAGATTTACAAGGATGTTGCCAGAGTTGGAGGGTTTGAGCTATAAGGGGAGGCTATTTTCCCTAGAACATCGAAGGCTGAAGGGTAACCTTATAGAGGTTTATAAAATCATTAGGGGCATGAATAGGGTAAATAGACAAGGTCTATTTCCTGGGGTGGGGGATTCCAAAACTAGAGGCATAGGTTTAAGGTAAGAGGGGAAAGATTTAAAAGAGATCTAAGGGGCAACTTTTTCACTCAGAAGGTGAACTGCCAGAGGAAATAGTGGAGGCTGGTACAATTACAACATTTAAAAGGCATCTGGATGAGTAAATGAATTGGAAGGATTTGGAGGGATATGGGCCAAATGCTGACAAATGGGACAAGATTTATTTAGAATATCTGGTTGGCATGGATGAGTTGGACTGAAGGGTATGTGTCCGTGCTGTATATCTCTACGTCTATGACTCTAAATAGTTCCATTTACAGAAAGATATTTATTTTAACAGTTCAAGAAAAATTTTATAAGCAATGATTGCAATCAGGAACAAATGAAGAATTAGCAATAAATTACTGCATTCAGAATTTATTTAGTTAGTTTTTTTTATATAGGGGATTTGACTAACCATTGTGTCTCAGCTAAAATGGAATTCTTTATAAATACCTATTTTGAATAGAAAAGTCCTGGAAAAATTTGTTATGAAAGACAAATTGTTTACAAACAAAATGGATACGAGGAGTGGAATCGTAAAGGTACCTGAAAGACAAGAGCTATGGCAAGATTTGCAGCAGGATCATGCCAGACATCCAGCAAAGCCTATCTCGATGTTGGGATCAACTTGCTGCATTTTGCATCCATCTGCTGAGTGGTGAAGCAAATTCTCAATAGGCTGCAACGAATTGCCGATTAAGGTTTGCATAGCTTATTAAACGTCTTATTAATAGCAAATCTCACCTCATTAATATGCACATTCCTTTCTTACAATATGCATCAAACAAATTAGGCATATGGAATTCTCAACATGGGAGTCAGAGCTGGTACCTCACTACCCTCCATGAAGAACTTCAGTGTTGCTCAGCACCAAACAGTAACTCAAGCTATGACCCATAGGCACCAGTTGCACACACTCTTCATCCACAGATATTGGCATCTGACATTTGCCAACCCCTCACAATCCTCATGGCATCTCTCCAGTCTACTTCCAGGTTGATTAGGAAGCATAGAGATGCCTTTCAGGACATACTGGCAATTAGCATTGAAAGGCTACTGCATGGACATTTGCACCAACAGACACACACACAGCTCACACATTAGACCAGGCCCATGTCAGGACGAGCCTTTCTGCTCCTATGATGCTGCTTGGCCTGCTGTGTTCATCCAGCCCTGCACCTTGTTGTCTTGGATTCTCCAGCATCTGCAGTTCCTACTATCCATGTCAGGACTGCTGGCTTGTTTTCTTAGCATTTGTTCACTTAGCACCTACCTGCATGTTCACAGCATCCCTGCTTTGTTTTGCTTTGCTTTGCCTTGTTTTGCCTTGCTGTGCTAATTAGCGCGGTCACACAACCAAGCTGTGTGCCTTGTGAGCAGCAGTCTTCAGTCAAGATGCGTACATCTTGCTGAACGGAGATACCCTATGTCATTCTCACACCTAATCCATGTGCCATCAGCACATTGTGTGGCAAGCAAGTAGCCATATCTCAGTCTTGGGGGAGTAGATTTCACTGAAGTCCGTGGAGGTAGCTATCAGTTGGGGGTCTCAGCATAGTCAGTCAAGGGCAAGCTCCAATAACAGTCGAGGAAATTGATTACAGTCAGGCATCCAGTCGAGGTGATCTCGGACAGGGGCAAGATTTTTGCTCCAAGACTCCAAGCACAGTGATCAACATCAGAACGCTAATCACAACACTGATTTCTGGTTCTGTAAGTCACTGTTGTGCATGCACTTTGGTAGCCCAGGCAGCTGCAAAGAAAATTAGAGGGAATGCTGATGGGGGGTCCATGCCTCTGCAGTCCAGGAACTGGGTCACTGTCGGTCCCATTGCTTTATAACCTACTTTTGGGAGTAGGGCTAATACAGTCATCGGTCAGGGATCTGGGCGCTTCTCATCTAGGGCTGTTCGGTTAGGTTGTTCAATGAGGTAAGCCATGCTCAGTGTAGTGGTTGGAATGAAATCAGCCAGGTGGACCTCATAGGATATGAGTTCCCTGACTGAGGTTGTTAACCAGGTCCAATCAGGGAGTCCTGGCTGACAGACATAAACAGGAGTGTCAGGGATTCTGCTCACTCTAGAAGCCAGCTCTGAGCTGACACAGGCAAATGCGAGGTGATGCATTTTGGAAGATCCAATTCAAGAGCAAACTATGCGGTAAATGGAAAAGCCCTGGGGAAAGTTGATGCACAGAGAGATCTGGGTATTCAGGTCCATTGTACCCTGAAGGTGGCAATGCAGGTTGATAGAGTGGTCAAGAAGACATACGGCATGCTTTCATTCATCAGATGGGGTATTGAGTACAAGAGTTGGCAGGTCATGTTACAGTTGTATAGGACTTTGGTTCGACCACATTTGGAATACTGCGTATAGTTCTGGTCGCCACATTACCAAAAGGATGTGGATGCTTTGGAGAGGGTGCAGAGGAGGTTCACCAGGATGTTACCTGGTGTGAAGGGCACTAGCTTTGAGGAGAGGTTGAGTAGATTAGGATTATTTACATTAGAAAGACGCAGGTTGAGGAGGGACCTGATTGAGGTCTACAAAATCATGAGAGGTATAGACAGGGTGGATAGCAAGAAGCTTTTTCCCAGATTGGGGGACTCAATTACTAGGGGTTACAATTTCAAGGTGAGAGGGGAAAAGTTTAAGGGAGATATGCGTGGAAAGTTCTTTACGCAGAGGGTGGTGGGTGCCTGGAACGCGTTACCAGCAGAGGTGGTACAGGCGGGCACGATAGCATCATTTAAGATGTATCTAGACAGATACATGAATGGGCAGGGAGCAGAGGGATACAGATCCTTGGAAAATAGGCGACACGTTTAGATAGAGGATCTGGATCGGCGCAGGCTTGGAGGGCCGAAGGGCCTGTTCCTGTCCTGTAATTTTCTTTGTTCTTTGTTCTTTGAGTCAGTGTCATGTACTATGCAAATGTAAATAAAGGGCGATGTGGTGACAGGATACTAGCCTTTGTGGAGTTACTTCAGTCAGTCCATTGGGTCTGTGCATAGAAGCTAAGGGGAAAGGAAGATGGAGGGGACAAAGGGGTTTGTTCCTGCAGGGAGGTCATTCGGGAGCTTATTCATTTGTGTTGGGGGCTGTAGGCTGTGGGGGAGGAGCGATGACAATTGTAAAGAGGGGCAATTGTATTTGTAAGAAAGAATATGGTAAAGCATGGCTGGAAACATGGTAATGTGGGAGGGGCATTCATTCACATTATGCAGCTCTCTGGCGTCACGGGGAAGACAGCATACGACCACAGCTGGCATGGTCACCTCATCTTCTTTGGGATGGGGAGAAAGGTGAACTAATAATGGCACATAAAGACCGGTTGGTTAGGGGTCATGGGAAGAGCTATCAGTTCGGGACCTCACCAATGCATTGAGGTGGTGGCTGGAAGCCACTGGCCGATGAGCATTCACTGTCACCATCCAGAATGCAGGAATTTGAGAAAATGGATGTGACCACAATGGAGTGAGGTAAATATCTTTATGTAAGAAAGGGACTGCAAGATGCACTGATATGAAGCCCTTTAAAGGGAAACAACATTATCCACAGGTCCATATACTGTACGGAACTCAGACCTGCAGGGTCCCTAATCACTTGCTTCCTAATGCATTTGCTCCCTGTGTGCTGACACCTCCCTGCCCTAGACATTGTGAATAAGAGGCATACAAACTCCAAACATTAATTCCATTTCTCTCTCCACAGATCCTATCTGACTTGCTGAGTTTCTCTAGCAATTCCTGTTTTAATTCCAGACATTGCTGACAACTTCATTAAACCAACTCTTTTGGACACAAGAAAACGGGGATATTTTAGGATGCGGGGCAATGGTATTAGCAGAACCCATAAACACATATACACCCTTGCTTCATCATGCTGCAGCAGGCTCTGAACATTGGCATCAATCCATTGTCATATTACATCCATTGTACATCCCAAATGGACGTGCAATTAGGTTTCACACTGCCACAGTCATGGCTACACAGAGACTCAAACAAATGGATGTAACATAAAACCAATCAAATTATACAAACATGTTAACTTATCTACAGCACACTGTCACTTGAGCAACCAAAGTGTCCTCAATTTGTGTTTCTTTCTTTTCCTCCAACTACCTCTTTGTGTTGTCCCAGGTTACGTAGTTGGGGTGGAAAGTGCCTGCTCATCAAACGGGCCCTTCTTGGCTTGAACTTCCAGTGGTTGGGGAAGAGCAGATAGGGTGGAGGTAGATGACAAACGTTCTCTGAGTGTCCTAAGAGAAGACTTCTGAAGGACTTGTGTGTGGTTCCTCCTCCAGCTCGATGCCTCCTAACACTGCCCTGTCTCCTTGTGGGTGTGTACCAGCTTCCCTGTCCCGCTGCCTTCAGTCCTGACGATCAACAGCTGTGGTGAAGGAGTGAAGTTGTGTGCGCCTCTTCAGCAGGCACTAAGGGTGCTGGATCTGGATCCATCACAGCTGCCAACCTGTCCAAGGAGGCATGCTTAGGGCAGCTGGGTCCCCAGAGTTTGGCAGCACTTCTTTGCAATGAATGCATTGTGAGACACATACCTCTCTGTTGCTCCTATACTCTCTGTGCATATGCCTGATGTCCCTGACTGCCAATACCATAGGGCCGTCTCCTATGTGAGCCTGAACATGTGCAGCAGCCAAAGGACCATGACTTCCTCAGCCAGCTGTGTAGCTGTCACAATGAGATGCTCACCAGCATGTACTCCCAAACCTTTCAAGGCTGATGTTCCCACCAAATGTCAGAACCTTATCTAGTTGAAGTGCAGGTGGCAACATTGCTTATGCTTCCTCTGAGGCTCAGTACTCTCATCATAAGAGGCCAAGAAGGTGCCTACTGGTTGAGGAGGCCATTTCTCCATGGAGATCATGGAGATCAAGACACAGGTGACAGGAGACAATGCGGCCAATGGTTAGAAGTGGTGTGCAATGAATGACACTGACAGTGGGTTACTGTGAGAGTTATAGTAGAATGAAGAATGCTCTTTACTCATTTGGTAGGATGTGGATGTCTCAATATCTCCTGAGGAGCAGTCACAATCTTCTCCTGCAAAGGAGTAGGATTCTGTCCTTGTAGGGTGTGAGGAGTCTGATGTTGGGCACCTCTCCACCTGTATGGACCATTACTGCCCTATTGTGAGTTGTCTGTTCCTAGAATGAGAGTAAGGAGAGATTGAGTGAGATGAGAAGTGGGTGGCACAGCTTTTAGTGCTGTTACAGGTGATTACAAGGTGGTGAGGTGTTCTGAGGGAGTGTATAGGCAGTGCAAAGGATGTGCAAAGGTGGTACGGAAGGTTGATGGGGATGAGATTGGTGGGGGAAAGTGTGACAGGCAATAGTGAGAGTGACAAAGCTTGAGCCTTGATGGAAGATTTGTGCAGTAGCAGAGATAGAGTGAACACGAGGAATCAGACGAAGACTGTGGCACTTACCTGGCACAGCATACCCTGACCTTCTTGAACATTGAATGGTCATTCCTCCACAAAGTAGAGGCAGCACTGATCTGGATGACAACCTAGGACCAGGCAACCAGAGTCTGATGTCCTGGCCTCCTCTGCTGGTCCTCCAGGAAAACAATATCACCAATCAGAGCAGTTTTGGAATGCCTGTTTTTGTCCAGGTGCACAGCGACTTTTTAAAAATGTTGCAGGCACCAGGGACGTTGGTCTTTCAATGGATATCTGCTGATATCTGGGAATGGCATGTGGTAGGATAGTCATTGAATCAGATGAAAGGGCTTCCATTAGAGGATGGCATAGGTAGTTAATGAGGAAGATACGGTGAGAAATCTTAGTCGGCCTTGTGTTGCAAGAAGCCTCCAAAAACTGTCATTTAGCCAAATAAGTTTCAGCCACATATAACAAAAAAATGAAAATCATAAATATTTTAATTTTGATGTGGTGAGAATTATTATTGGGTAAATACCCAATTGAGGGTGTTAATACTTTGATGGGAGAAATACTCTGGTAATCAAGTTCCACTATTTCACCAGGCTCACGATTTGTAAAAATATTTTGATACAATCACCAGAATAGACAAATCATTCCCCTTTGTGCTACTATCAAGAATAAAAGAGACTTTCACCATTCTTTACTGAACTCAAAATAATCCTTTTATTATTGCGCAAAATTCATTCTGACCATCTAAGGTCTGCAAAAACAAATCAATTCCAGAAAAGATTACTAGGCAACCACAAAGCTCAGAGGCCACATTGTCTTTTCATAGCCAGATTTTCCAGCAGTTGAGGCCCATAAAACCTATCTCTCATCTCCCTAAAAGCTTTGCTTGACTTTTTTCTAAAGTCACTTGATTTTTTGTAAACAGCATACAAACATAGGAGGAATTGTTGACCTCATTTTACAAGAAACCACATGGTAAAACATTTTCCATTTTGGGAATGTCAACAGTTCCGTATCTTCCAGTTTGTGCACAATCCTTAAATATAAATATGTATTCCATAAAAATAAATATGTATTCCCAATAAGGGAATGAGATTCCACTATGATCAACCAGAGTAAAGATGAAGCAATTTATCACTTCCATTTAAACCCGTGTTATTAATCATCACCCACAGGGAATGAATCGCTAACCCTGATAATCAAAATCCAAACACAATATTCAGCTGTTAGTCAACTTGGTAGCAATTTTCCAATAACCAGATAGTCATTTCTTCAGCATGCCTAGCAATTGTACCTTTGGGCCTTGTAGCTCCATGGGAACTAAAAAATCCAATGAGCAATTCTCTTGGAATCCTCCAAAAGTATCCTTTGAATTCAGATTTCTCATTAGATAGCCTACCCATTTGCCCAAATATCCGTGGATTGAAGATTGGCCCATTCTGTCATATCAAGATCCATGGCAGAATGGATAAATAAATAAAGTTAAAAGTGCAGTCTCCAGAGGATGGAATACTGTATTCTTGGCGTCTCTGACCTTGAAGAGGTTATTTGAATGTTTAAAGTCAGGTATTTGAAAGCTCCAGGAAAATGCTACTCTATTAGATTTTCCAGACATGGAGTTGAAGTGACAGTTAAGTTAAGTCTATTGAGATGTTAGTAAAAGAAATGTTTTCTCTGGTGTGAGTATTCTCTGGTGTGAGTAATGTAGAAGAGGTGTTTCTGGGTACTGTCAAGGGAGTACTTTGGGATTAATGGGATTATATTTCTACCATGTGATTCAAAATCTTTAAAGGCATATTACATGTAAATAGTTTAGTCTATTATACTTTATTTTTGTTTCTTTAGCTTAATAAACTTTAGTTTTATTGATTAAACCAAATCTGAAAAATTGAGTGTTCATAGTTCAGTGACAGAGTCGCCTCAATAAAGCCAAATCAAAACAAAATATAATCTATTTCAGTTTTATCTGATTTGTTGAGTAATAATGTCAGCTGGGATCATAACAGTTTGAAAGGTTCAGTAATAATTAAGTGAATGAACAACATAAACAACTTAAAACATATCTGTTCCTCTTGCTATTCCTTTGGTGCTATCATCCCTATGCAATTATAGATATAATGTATACCCATGGAATGTGTGGTCTAAAAGTATCAGAGGGATTGTTAGCTACTGCAAGGTATAGAATGAAAAAATCCTAGTGCTAGGGTCTGGCTTGTAGTTGAAGCATGAAATCATCTATTGATGAAGACTTTATAGTATCAAAGGTGCTTATAGCCTGGCTTGGCTATCAAACTTGCAGTCAATGCTTATGGAGTTTGTTTGAAAAACAATGACACTTACCGTGAATGCAACACATAACACATAATGAGCAGATCATGGTTATGTGGCAGCTGAGGACATGAGCACGAAGAGTTGGTAAGGAGGGCTATGTGAGTCTGCAGGATAGGTGCCAATGACTTGAATGTCTCTAAAATCTCCACCACTGTGGTGATTTCATTGCAACCACTTCTGCTCACATCTTTTACTTTGGCTCGGATAACTAGCAAAAACAGGTGGACAGAAATAAAGTGAAACTCAAAGCTGATTTTCCAAAGCAAATAAGATTTCATATCACTACATTACCAAAAGGTTCTGTTTAGAGAATTTGACTCAATGTTTAACAATCAATATTCAAACATGTATTTTCCCCAGCATTAATTGTAGCTGGCATTTTTGGATATTAGTTAAAACTTTGTGCTAAATTTAGTTACCTTTTATATTCATTTAATCTTCCAACTTCAATTTGTTAATTTATTCCAAATTGTTTTGGTGATATCTCAATAGTTGTCACAATCAGAAACTGCAAGTTAGCTTTAATTCTGATGTTAAAAATGCAATGCATCACTATTATATTCTGATTTAATATCAGCTACATATCCTGAGCTTTATTTCCATTGTTAGAGTACATTGAAGACTTAGACTGATAGGTTTAAATCCCTCAAAAAAATCAAGGGGTATGGGAAAAGGGCAGAAACGTGGAGTTGAGATAGAAGGTCAGTCATGATTATACTGAATTGCAGAGCAGTTTTAAAGGCTTAAATGGTTTACTCCTGTTCCTATTCCTTAATTATATTATAGTAGTTCTCATAGTATTTTGTTATAAATTGCATGTGAACTCCATAGACAATTTTGGTCTCCTTGTTTGAAAAAAGGATATAATTCCATTCGAAACAGTTCAGAAAAAGTTCAATTAACTCATTCCTCAGATGAAGAAGTTACTCTATGAAGAAAAACTAGACTGGCTGGGTCTGTATCCATTGGAGTTTAGAAGAATGAGAGGTGATCTTGATGAAACATATAAGATCCTAAGGGAAGTTTTCTGTTGTTGGGCAGACTAGAACTGGGGGACACATTTTAAAAATATGAAGTCTCTATTAAAACACAGATTAGGGGATTTATTTTCTCTCACAGACAGTTTAGTCTATGGAACTCGCTTCTTCAGAAAAATCATGAAGTCTACGTCATTGAATTTATTCAAGGCAAAGTTACATAGATTTTTGATAGACAAGAGAGTCAAGGATTATAGCGGAGCTGATAGGAAAGAAGTATTGAAATTACAACCAAATCAGAATGATCTTGTTGAATGACAGAGCCAACACAGAGGGCTGAATGGCCTATCCCTGCTCCTAACTCCATTATTCCTATATTAGAACAGTCTATTGTTTACTTGAATTTGAAACTAGTCCAAATAATATATCGAAGTTATCTCTCTTTTTCCTTTGTCTGTGTTTTAAATTTGTCATTAATTGAACACTGCACTTTGTGTAAGAAGTAGAAGTGCTACACTGGTGCAATAGTAGATGTTATGATGAATACAGAACTTTGGCCAGACCAAAAGGAATTTTGGCAATCACTGAGGCCATGTTATAATTGGGAGCATTTAATGTCAAATGTGAAAGACATTAAAAGTAACACTTTCATCTAGGTAATGAAACCCACACCCCTTCTCTTACTCAATCCAAAATTATTATAAAGCAAATTAGAGGTGTGCTTTTATCAACAGATCATGCTAACCCATGCCTCATTAATTTTAGGTTTATAATATCGCAATTTTAGTTTGATTTTCACTATATTGAGAGAAAGCATTTAATAAATTACCTTGTCCCTCAAAAAAACATGTTTTTATAACCTTGGGTAGAAATAAAATATGCTTGAGAGAAACCAAGCCTAAGACTGCAACATGCGTAAACATCCTGTTAATTAACATTTTGCAGCAAATAACATCAAGTTCAGAGAAAATTTTCACAAGACAATAGAAAGAATATTGCCTTTTGAGGAAATAAAATCCAAGCCATAAGATAAAGTTGCCAATGTTCTACAGACAACTGGTGGTGGTTTTAACCCAAACATCAACATGCCTCAAGCGAGGGGAGAGGTTGAGAAGGAGAGTCCTTCATGGTAATGTCGGCTGGCATAGGAATTTAACCTATGCCTACTTCAAACTGCATTGCAAACCAGCCATCTAGTCAACTGAGCAAACAGACCATCTCTAACACAATACAATGCTAATGAAAGTATAAAAATTCATGTCAAAATACAGTAAAAGAGGTTGGAGGATGGAAAGATGTTTATCTGTTAGATAAGAAAAGTGACTGAAAGTTTGTAAAAATGATCCAATTTATAATTTTTTGGATTATAAAATCACCAGGGACACTATTGCAATCAAACAGGCAACAGATTATCCTCTCTCCCCCAAATGTTGTCAATATTTGTACATAATCTGTAGTTTTATATGAAGTTTGGAGCTGTTAAAAAATGTGACGAGTGTAAATGCTGCCACCATCATTGTGTTTTTAAAGCCACCTGACAATAAATAGTTATCACTTACCATAGTCATAGTTCTTTTCCAAGTATGTTTTTAGTGTTGGTTTAATTTTTCTACATTTACAACGACCTGCCAAAAAAAAGTACAAATAATTTTAAGTGAACGGAAATGCGAATACTAGAGGTTTCAGTATGAATGCTCTGGCAAAAGCGCTAGTCTGTCAATCTTAACCGACCGTGAACAAATATTTTACAGTAGCGATCCAGGCAGTTTGCTTTAATGGGACAGATGGCAAAAAAATGCCCAAGTGTATTTTACAGAGGCAGGGCAACGCTAATAAATAACATACTGTCAAATTCAAATCAGCATGCATTTTTTTTACAAATCGTAGAATCCTGAGATTTGCGTTTTACTATACAACTGATAGTTGACGCTACGATGTAATCAGATGAGCTAAGAAGAAAGATGTAAAGTAGCGGTGGATTCTTTAAGAACTCGGTTTCTGAATAGACCATATCAATCGCGACAATGCTCGTGCCCTTTAAAGGAGCAAATCAGAATGGTAAGTAATTCTGAATGTATACGGAAAAGCAAAATTTCGGGAATGCTGAAAACCAGGTCACTATTCTGAAACGTTATCAATATCTCTTTCTCTACGGATGATGACAGACCGCAGGTTTTTTTTTAATCCAGTTTTATCTACCCTTTTTCTATGGGCAATAATATCGGTGTTTTTATAATAGAATTTCCCAATTAGTTACGTGTAAAATCTAACGTTTTGCGATCTTCGAACTTCTGCCAAGACGCAGGGTAGGCAGAATAAATGTTTACAAAAGAAACTTATAAATGTTTGTTCGAGAGCAGTAATCCTCCACTAACGCTTCGCACATACTTTTATCATTCTGATGTGACAGTAAGAACACTCCAAATCTTTACAAACCTTTTCCCCAGCTCCCTTACCACTCACCTGTGTTCCAACTCTTGCAGTCGGAAGGCTCCTGTACGATCATATCACGGGTGATGTCCATCCACATTGCATCTGGAAATTTGAAACAAAAACACAAGGCCATTTTTGGTTAAATTAATTCCACAAACTGCTTTCTCTGCAAACTGATAAGTGAATTGTAAACCACGATAACTCCTTGGAGTTGCAAGTCATGTTTTCGTCTAAGAGCATCAAGTGTTAGTGCATGATTTCTTCTCACTGAAATCGAAAACGTATCTTTTGTTGATTGAATTTAATTTGAGAGAAAACATAAAAAGGGAAATCACAGGTTGGTGCGTGATACGTTGCTTTTAAGGATTATTAACGCATTGTTACAAATATTAACAAAGCACTTCTCTGAAAGACAGGAAATCGTTCTCAGCCTCTCACCTGCAGGTCCATCAGTGACGATTGCCTCCGGAGAGATGCAAACTCCCCGATCATAGACAGGTAAGTCGTTGCATGCCAGACTTTCCGGCCAGTTGTGGTTATACCTTCTCATTATAGGTTCGCAACCGTCCCTTGCCCTCTGGCAAACTGACTTACACGGCTTGATGGGGTCGTGAAGGAACTCGAAGGTACAGATGGGTACGTACATTGCACAGAGAAAGAAGCGCAGCACTGGACTGCAATTAGTGTCCACCAGTTCCTGATATTGCTCTACTGCGAGAATAGCATTCTCCTGGGTGCTGTGATGAAGATGGTTGGGCATCCGAGTGATATTCCATGGCATTGTTTTACACATCGGGATTCTGACACGTTCGCAGGGTGCTCCCTGCGACAAGACAGTTGGTCCGAGCCAAAGGCAGAGAGCAGCAAACACTGGCAGCATCTTGCAAAGTGCGGACCGATTCCCCTGCTCTCCTCCAGTATATATATACTTCTTTTCAAATAAAAATAAAAAAAATCAGCGACTCAGATGGGGGAGGGGGGTGGTCAGGGGATGATAAATTCTTTGTCTGTATTTAAAGTGAGCGACCAATTAAGAGCTGACGATCAGGATGATAACAAATAAGAGGAGGTGCTCCTGTCGGATTTCGGCAATCCAGAACTATCAGGAGATTAACACAGCCACGACAGGGGCCATGGAAATGATGGGACGGCATCTAGCGTGCAATGCCTATCAGAAATGGGGTGTTCCTTTTCCAGTTACTTCCTTTGCTGGTATCTTTCATCTCTTTTTCCACCTACAGTGACATCACCTGCATCTGTTTCTTATTCCTTACGCATGACAATTTTTGAAACGCTCAATGTTTGCATATAGTTTCAGAGAGGTGCATGTTTACTCAGCACATTTGGCCTGAAATTTAAATCTTAAATATTACAATACAGAGCAAATAAAAATGAAATCCAGTCTTACTGATGAAGTGATTCAGCTACAATGATTCTTCTATAACTGCACCTCAGATGCGTTATGACGCGATACTTAATCCAGCGCTTCACCCGAAGCACGTTGAATCGTATGGGACAAGTGTAAAGAAGGACAAGTTTTTGAGGTAGAGGTTTCAATGCTGATCAAATCCAGCAAGTAACATTGGCCAAAAAACAGAAGAGAATCGACAGTAAAGGGCGATTGAATAATGTGGGCAAACCATAACAGAGCGTCACCGATAAACGGGAACAGAGTTGGGTGGAAATGCACTCGCAGAGTCGCATGAATACGTATTCATCGATAACACGTAGGGAACCGTCATTCCCCGTTGTAATAGTCCCATCGTTTCAGCAGTTATTCCAAATTCAATTTGTGACTCAACTTTTATTTTGCGCGGAAGAAAGTTACTCAGAACGACTTGTAATTTTATTAAACAGTATTTAAGTATACAACATTTAACAAATGTTGCCATCTTTTTGAAACGTGCATAGTGTGAAGATTTTAAAAGGTCAAGCTTTTCCGAAAAATAAATTACCATGGATTAAAAATACAAAATCATTTTATTTTATTATTCGTTCATGGGACGTAGAGGTAACCGGCTAAACCGGTATTATTGGCCATCCCTATTAGCCCCTGAGAAGGTGGTGGCAAACTGCGGGAGCCAGGAATAAACACTAATTTTAGAAAGGGAGCTCTGGATCTTTGACCTAGCCACAGTGAAGAAACAGCAATATGATTCTAAATCAGAATTGTGGGTGTCTTGGAGAGGAACTTGCAGGTGGTGGTATTCCCATACATCTGCTGCCCCTGTATTTCTCAGAGATAGCGGTCATGGTTTTAGAAGACGTTGTCAAAGGAGCCTGGGCAAGTTGCTGCAGTGCATGTTGTCTATGTATTGCTATGTTGCATTGTGGAGAAGGAAGTGAATGTTGAAGGTCATGTGCCTAAAGTATGTCGACCTTCTTCAATGTTGTTGGAGCTGCACCCATCCATGCAAAATGAAGAGTATTCCATCTATTCCTGACTCACGGTTTTGTAGATGTGGGCAAGCTTTAGTGAATCGGGAGTTGAGTTCCAAGCCTCTGAGTTGTAGCCACAGTATTTATATAACTGATCATGTTCAGGTTGCAGCCAATTGTAACTCTGAGAATGTTGACAGTGGGGGAATCAAACAATTATAATGCCATTTAATGTCAAGGGAAGATGGCTAGTTTCTCTCTTGTTTGACATGGTAATTGCCTGGCATTGGTGTGGTGTGATTATTATTTGCCACTGATTAGCATAAGCCTAGATGTTCAGGTCTTGCTGCATAAGCTGTTTCAGTTTCTGAGGAGCTCTGAATTACATTGGACATTGTGCAAACATCAGTGAACATCCCTCCTTCTGACATTATGGTGGAGGGAAAATCATTCATAAAGCAGCTGAACATGGTTCTGCCCAGGACACCAACCTGAGGAACCCCTGTAGTAATGTGCTGGAACTGACATGATTGACCTCCAACCATAACGATTTTCCTTTGTGCTAGGTATGACTCCAATCTGTCAAGAGGTTTCCCTCTTATTGCTACTGACTCCAATTGTGCTAGGGGCACTTTTTGAAATACTCAATCTGCATTGATGTTAAGTGCAATCACCCTTAACTCACCTCTGAAGTTGTCTTTTATTCATATTTGGACGAAAGATGCGTTGAGCTCAGGAGTTGAGCGGCCTGATGGAATCCAAACTGAACATCAGTAAGCAGGTTATTTCTGTGCAAATGTCACTTGATAGCACTGATCGATGGTCCCTTCTATCACTTTGCCAATGATCAAGAGTAAGCTGATAGGTCAGTAACTGGCAGGGTTTTGTTGGTCCTGCATTTTATGAACAGGACATATCTCTGTAAGTTATCCTACTGTCGCCAGTTATAGCCGGTGTGTAACAGCTGGCTAGGGTGCAGATAGTTCTGGAACATAAATCTGAAGTACAAATGCTGGAATATTGTCAGGGCCCACAGCCATTGCAATATCCAACGTCTTCAGCAATTCCTTGATATCATGTGGAGTGAATTCAATTGGTTAAAACTGCCCATCTGTGATGCTGGGCACCTCAGCAAGTGGATCATCTATTTGGCACTTCTGGCTGAAGGCAGGTGCAAGTACTTCAACCTTGTCTTTGGCTTTGATCCTGGGCTTATTCAACATTCAGGGTGGGGATATTTGTGGAACTTCCAGCTTCTGTTAGTTATTCAACCACCACCACCATTTTAAAATTGGATGTGGCCAGACTGCATAACTTAGAACTCATTTATTAGTTGCAGAATCACTTAGGCCCATCTCCACACACTGCTTCCACTGTTTAGTGTACAAGAAATCCTATTGTAGCTTCACCTGGTTTTAACCTCATTTGTAAGGACATTGCATATGTCATTTTGAAACATAAATCAGAAAATGAAGGTTTGGATTATTTGTTTTGCTTACGACAGGAGAGCTGTGTGATCTGAAGAAGCTATATTTATTACCAGTTTGAAACACACTGGCACCAAGTGTCTTTGGGGATAAAAAACGTACTGAGAAGCAACTTGCGGTTTGGTTCTAAGTGGCAGTCTGTCACAGAACTAAGAGGAAAGAGAACAGTTATGATTCAGACTTTCAAAACGTCTTCCAGCAAGCAAGATCTCATTCTCACTCTCTCTCGCCCTCTCTCTCTCTGTGGGAGGAAAGAAAAACACTCAAAGACTCTGCCAAAAAGAAAAGAACAGCTAATTCAAGCCAAGACCAGCTGCCCAGCTCCCAAATCAAGGATCACCACAGTTGACAACAACTTGATAACACACCAAAAACTAAAAAAAGCACTGTGAGAAAGTCACCTCATTTCTCCTTTTGGTTTGGACTCTGAATCACAGACATTGTGCTTTTTTGCCTATTTTTCCTCCCTACAATATTTCTACAAAACACTGCTTGTCTCTTCTCTCCTATATATGAACTAACGTTTGTGTTTGGATTTAACAGGGGTATAAGTTTAAAGTTGCATATTAGTAACTAATTATCAATTTTTGCCACGTTAGATATGTTTGTTATAATAAGTACATTTTTGCTTTTTTGTTCATTGATGTAACCTTGCATTGTTTATTTTATCTTAAATAGTTGTAACAGTCAGGCATTAACCATTCTAGTGATTAAATTAGTCATATTTCACATTTGTGATGACTCGTGAAATATGGGTTTTGATATCCAGTGCCTATCAGTGTTGTGACAGTATGCCTGGTACTGTCCTTGTCATTCCCTCCTACACTCTAGATGGAACCAGGGTTGATCTCCTAGTTTGATGGTAACAATAGTGGTTGATATGCTAGGTCATGAGGATACAACTTGTGGTTGAATATAATTCTGCTACGCTAATGGTTCACAGTGACATGGATGCACAGTTGTGAACTGCTCGATCTGTTCAAAGTCTGTCCCATTTAACATGATGGTAATCCACACAACACAATGGAGGATATTGTCAATGTGAAGTCAGGACTTCGTCTTCACAAAGACTGTGTGGTGTCCTAGACAGAGGCATCTACAGAGGGTAGATTGGTGAGGACAAAATCAAGTAGATCCTTTCCTCTTGGTGGTTGCCTCACCATTCGCTACAGAACCAATCCAGCAGCTATGTCCTTTAGGACTCAGTCAACTTGGTCAATGGTGCTGCAATTGAGTCATTCTTGGTGTCGTACATTGAAGTCCCTGACCTAGAATACAGTCTGTACCCTGCCACCTTCTACGTTTCCACAAATATTGGTAAAGAAGGCTTTGCAGAGTTGGCTGTGCTGTGTCTGCCGTTCGGATTTCTGAAGCCTAGATCATTGCCAATTGTCTGTCTGGTTTGTAATAAATCGTTTTTAAAGTTATGGTATTGCTGGCCAGCCCACCCAAGTGCACTATGTGGGAAAGCATGGATGCACCATGTGTCCTTGTCAATCACATGTGTAGGAAATGTCAGTGCAGGACAAGCTTGAAATCAACAGCGGCTGGAATCTTTGTTGTGCTTCCTTGAGGCAAAGAACTACATGGATAACAAATTTAAGAAGGTGATCACACTGCTGGTGAAAAGCACACAAGCAAGGAGGGAATGGGTGACTGTCAGGCAGTTTAAGAGAACTAGACAGACACTGGAGTCCCCAAACTAAGTATTGTTTGAAAATTGATTTCCCAGTTTGAATACCGATCAGACCAATAATTCCTTGGGGAGGTGCAGTGAGAGCCATATATGTGGCAGCATGGGTGATTTGGCTATACAGGAGGGGAGGAAGAAGAGTGGACATGATTAGGGATTCCATAGTTAGGGCATCAGACAAGCAACAAATGTTACTCCAGAATGGTGAGTCATCTCCCTGGTGCCAAAGCAAAAGCTGTTGAGGTGTGGTCTGCTGAATATCCTTTGCAGGGAGGTTGAACAGCCTGCAGTCATGATACATATTGGTACCAAGAACAAGAAGAGGGATGA